TAATTTTATCTTAAACGACCGCTGCCATGATCAAATCCATCACCACTTGAGTTTACCAGTTAGTGCAGAGTTAATGAACAAAAAATAATACATACCTGTCAAGAAAAGGCTATTAATCCCTTATCAAGCAAAGTGACACGTGTTCCCTGCTGCACACTGGACAAACAAACTAGATTTACAGAAACAATTGCCAAAATATTTCAAAAGCACTCCAATTCACCATATCACAGATTCTTTTGTGTCTCTTCTCTATTTATGCTTCTGAAGTCTTTTTGCCTGTCTTTATTTCACTCTCCATTTTTCAAAAATAAAGTCCCACTTAAGTTATTAGCACTATAAAATTTTTGGTTTGTTTTCAGTCAAGTTAATTCATTCTGGAATAAATACATGTTCAACGCAGCTGATGTTCTTTCGATTACGTGATACAATACTCAAATAAACAAGGAAAAGAAAACACAACAATGCCATAGCTGTGAGGAAGACGAGGAGCCCAGCAAACAGAGGAGGTTTCAGAGGTAATTGGATCAGCTTGCCTTCTGCTGGAATCATGGTCGTGAGGCTTAACATGTAACCGAGTGACCATGCTATACTGCTGTTACCAACCTGAAATAAAGACAGAAGAGTCCTATTCCCATGGACTTCTCAGGCAAAGAAAAGAGGTTTGAAAACCTCAACTGCTGATGCTGGCAACTGCCCTTTAAGTTAGCAAGGAGAAAACTTTAGTGTAGTATACAAAGAAGATACAGAACCATTTTAAATTACCCCTTTTTTTCTTTTTTTTTCCCTGTCATTCCAGAGGATAAAAATGGTCACTGTGCTACAGAAGTGAGACAAAGGTATTAGACGGATGGGTACAAGGACATGTGGTATATATGCAGACAGCCACTTATGGGATTTTTCTGTGCAAGAAACACACTTTAAAAAAAAAAAATCAGCACTCCTGTGCTAATTCCTAGGATGTTATTTAGTTCAAGCAAACAAAAAACTCACGGAGTCCCACCAGCATGGACAAAGAGGCCCGAGTAAAGTCCCCAAAGCAGCAACTCTATCATCTTTTGTTCCACGGTTGGTTTTGTGCCTGCAAATGAACCAGCAGTAGGCGCTTCCATTTAAAAAAAACCCCAACCAAACCATAGGTGGAAATCTACAGGTGAAACAAAAGCAAAGGGAGTATGTTTCTATTTGCTCCACAGTCCTGCTTTGCTGTCTTTCCCAACTTCTAATTTGAGCAGAGTTTATCCATTTTCCACTGCCTTTTTCATTAAATCATCATCCTGCCACTTGGTAAGCACAGGATCAAAGGGAGAAGATACAGTGTCCCATGTCCTCCTCTCACATTCCCAGGCTCCAATAGTGGTTTGCCTATTTTATATAAAACATATAAATACACATCACTGCCTCCTATAAATCAAACTTTTAAAAAAAACCCACTATGTTAAACAGAGTGAAAAAATAAGGAGGGGGACACATCAAGAGAAATCAAGAGGAACTCATTAAACGAGGGCTAGCCTAGAGGGTCAGCTACAAGATATGTATTTGGTGTACAGTCTAGTACAGGTAGCTTGCTTTTTCAAAGGGCCTGCACCACTTTCAAATCACTCCAGGCAGTTCTAGGGTATACTGTAAGACAGACAAAGCTGAAGTTGCATTCTTCTGCAACCAGCCAGCTCTCCCAAACTCATTTGGCTTTCCATCTTCATTACAGGTCACCCCACTTTGCAACTACAGAGATGAGTTTGCCTGAATGGCTGCATGTAAGTAGTTTGCTTAAGTTTGGGAAACCAAACCTCTTTGGTTATTCTTGTATAAAAAACATCATGATGAAGTAGAGGGATGAACTTTAATAAATTATTTAATGTCTTTAATGAACAGTTTTAAGCAGTCAGCTGCTGGTTGTAGGAGACCATAAGGACCTATAATATTTTGTCCTTTTTGTAGTTGTGTATATCCTAATACCAATACCTTTTGTTTAACTGATAAAAAGAAAGCTACAGCAACAGGAACTGGAATATAACAGGTGAGTAAAGAGGTAAGATGGATCAAGGTGGTTTGTCATCGCTGAGAGAGGGGAAAAAGTTCTCATTATGTTTAGAACTTTTGCAAATCATCGAGCTCCAGATCTTGCCCAGATCTTAGCACTGGGTTAAGGTTTTTTCATTGGTTGTGTTCACTAATTAAAAGGAAATATACCCCCAGCATAGGCAAAAAACCCCACCCTCCACTCCTGGAGAAACTGTGCTGTTATCTCTGGGGTAGCTTAGCTGATCAGTTAACATTAGATCTTATTTTAATAGGGGCAGATCTAATTAAGAGCATGTTATTTTTCCTTTTGGAGTTTCATGATTACCCTAATGCAAAATCTAGGTAACAAAGTTATTAATTTCAAATAAGCCTTCTGGGTTTTTATTTTGCTCAGTACGTTTATAGTCTTGGCAAAATACAGAAAAATTTTGCTGTGTTTGGCTGCTCCTATCCGCTGGGGACAAAACAAGATATATTTAAAGACAGAGACAAATCCACCCCCCACCAGGTCCAAATTAAGATCCCAGAGTAAGCTCTATGCTGATTTCCTGGTAGAACGGCTAAACTCTGGATACTCCTCCAGAGCTGCTAATGGTTGCCCACCAGAGGACAAGATAAGGCAAGAAAATCCTACTTGACTCCTTAGTGCACCAGTAATAGATATGACTGTTCAGAAAACATTGCTTACAGAAAACATTTCTCATTTGCAGCTTGCCTGCACACCCTGCATTTAAGAATACTCCATGAAGATCTACAACCTATTCTCTTATTGGTTTTGCGTGCAAGTGCTTAAGCATTTCCAAACCGTACAGAGATTAAGAGACAGCCTGGGACAAGGTTTTAAAATAAGGCTCTGTACAGTCGCAGAGAGGAAAGCATGGAGTCACAGAGCACTGTGGGAACCACACTTCTTGATGTAACAGCCAAGCTTAGATAGTGGACATGCCTTCTGATTTGGAAGCAAAGATTTCTTAGCAGTAGCTTTAGAATGGATATATACAAGCTCATTCCAAGTACTCTTTTTTTTTTAGGAGAAAAATTCCGGTCAAGGAAGAGAGAAATGCAGCTATTAACACAAATGTTGTAAGCTTTCTCTCTCTGCCAACTGAAAGCCAATACCCCATCAATACACATTCTTATTCCAGAGAAGCAGATTATGGCACAGATGGATATGCCAGCTGAGGATAAAAACTGCCCTAGTTGCTTCATCACCACTCACTGACTATAGACCAGCTCTGCCAGCAGATAGAAAAGCGGGAGTTCTCCTGTCCAGCTCAGCAGGGTTAGCTCAAACTGACCCTGACGGCAAGGTTTCAGGCACATCACTGCTTAGAGCAAGCCACTACTTCAACAAACTGGGGCAAGGTTTAAAACACAATTATTCGATCCTTTCTTAAAGGTCTTTGAAAGAATCTAGGCAGCATCTCCAAGTAATGCTGCAACCCCTGGAGCCAGGCTGAAATCACTATTGAGACTTGAAAGTGGCTTTGTCTTATGCCAAACATTTGACAATCATTTACAAAGGCTGTTTACAACCATTATATTTTTGCATCTTCTGTCTCCTTTTGAACTTCTTTGGATTAAAATAATAGTAACAGGAAATTATTATTACTCACCTCCTTTTGAAAGTGTATCTGTGGCCAAGTTTCTGCATCGAAGTTGTAACCATGTACAAGCAAGTAATAAATGAAATTGGCTGAAAAACAGTAGGATCTAGCATATATTTCTTCAAATTTAGGCAGCATAAACTGGAGCTGAAAGCAAAAGGTTTTTTAAAAACACATAAATTATGAAAACCAAATGCTTTTGGTTTTTATAACTAGAGAATGATTTGGATTCCAATTAGAATTTAACATTTTTCAGAAACATCAAGTAAAATTGTGGACAACTAGGCATGGAGATTTAGAAAAAGAAAGACCCTGACAGTGATATAGCTTATGTAGTTAAAAATTAAAATAAACATAAAACTGCACATAAAAGATTGAGGATGTTACGGTTCCTAAATTTTCCACATTGTCTTTACAGCATGGTTAAAACTGTGGTAGTAAACCATGGCCACAAATCTCTTTTAAGAGCATCACAGACGGAGTCAGCCTTGCACGTGACAGTCAGTTATTAAGTGATGATGGTAAGTTCCAATAGGAAATGCTAGCAACAAAATGAATGCAGACAGGGAGCCAGTTCGGTGATGTGAGGTACTTTCCTGCAAATTTATAATAGGTCTGTCAATTTACTCTAGCTTCACACTATCAGAGATGAGATCAGAACAAGGCATAAGGAATATTGGAGGATTAGAAAAATACAGAGTTAAACCTCCATTAAATAAAGATGCCTGCAAGTTACACAGAACATGTTATATCACAAGACTGCTCTTTGGATGTCAATTGTGACCTGGGGTGCTCGTTTGGATCATGAATATCAGCTGGAATTCACAGAGCCAAGCAAAGTGCTTTTGATCTTCCAGTCTGATCTGAAAGTGCTGTTATGAGTCCCAGTGGTTACAAGATCAGGTCCTGAATATCGCAGCATACAAATACAGACAGATCAAGCAAGCTGTAAATTAAGAACTGCTGCGTGAAAGCTGTACAGAAAAGGTCATGGATTGCCAGTTGGGGACAATTTGCTTTACTTGCTTTTCTTAGCACAAGTAATAGCAAAAAAATATGAGACTATACCCATCCCTCAGATGAACTCTGAGGACAATAATGGGGGGGAAAAAAAAAAAATCAATTTTCCTTCCACCAGTACAAATTCTTCAGGCAGCGGTGCTAATTCCACCTCTTCAGCTCCAACTACACTGCGTCTGCTCTGTACTACTGTGCCCTCACAGGTAATGTAGGATACAACTGATAAGTACTAACTGCTTTGAATATATAGTGATAATATTGATAATATGTGTGATTGAAGTGTGGTGTTAATGAATGTCAGTCTAGCAGAGTTTTGTTTTAAAATTTAAACTGACCTGTTCTATCAGCCTTCTAAAAACTTCCATAAAGGCAACCTCTAATCCCCTGAAACGCATAAATTTACACCCAAATATATTCAGTTGCAACAGCCCTTACTATCTTTGTGGCATCTCAGCTGTACAAAGCTCAAAGATAAAAAGAAGAAAACACACGCACTGCTTTGCCACATATCAATATAGGCCAGAAACTCAGCTTAGAATCACAGGGAATGAAATTTCCAAACCTATTCCAAGTTTTAAGCATGCTAGAAATACTACACGGTTTAAAGCACAGGGGGGAAACAGATGTTGAGGTTGATACAGACCTTCTGAAAAGTTCTGAATACTTGTCCTTTTTACATCTCCCTTTTACAGATAAAAAAGAAAAAAAAAAAAGAAAAAAACAAACAACCCACTTACCTGTGCCCAGCTCTGTGAACAGAAAAACCACATACTTGAATTGAAGTCAGCTAGGGAGAAGTGCCCAGATAAATTCAAAGCATTAATTGTATAGTAGAATCCTGAGAAAGCCTATAGAAAAGGAGTAGATGACAGGCCTGTTACTTACAGAACTACAGAAATCAAAAGGAAGCAAGCTCAAAAAGAAATGCTGTGTTTGCAAACCTACCACAAAATTCCCTTTAACTTTTGGCTGATGGATTCCATTAAATGAACAGTCTTCTCTGTCTCTGCAAGCAGTGAAGTTAAACAATAAAGAAACCATCTCCTGGCACAGACCTGGGTCTCCTGTTCCATGGAAGTTCACAAGCTGGTTTGGGTAGTAATTTGCTGGTCTCAGAGACTGTGTACAAAGGCTGCCAGAGAAGTACTTCATTGTTAATGAAGTATTATAATTCTGAGGGTAACATGGATTATCCACATTGGAACTGGTGTTTGATTTCTGGGGAAAAAAAACCAAAAACAAACCAACCCAATAAAGGTAACTCAAAAGCAAGAAAGACCTAATTTGACATTAACTACAGGAATCTTTAAACCACATATGCACGTATGTTTGTTCTCTTCTCTGTCATGGCTGATCAGTACCACGTTGCTGATCATTATCAAAAATTCATTGTGGTGGGTTGACCCTGGCTGGAGG